GCCGTGCGCCTGCTGCTGCCCGGGGAGCTGGCCAAGCACGCCGTGTCCGAGGGCACCAAGGCCGTCACCAAGTACACCAGCGCCAAGTGAGCTGCTAATATGTGAGCTTATGTAATCGACTACACTCATGCTCCACGGCTCTTTTCAGAGCCACTCATGTTTTCAAAAAAGAATTGGCACCTATTCATCTCCACCTGCTTGAACACAGGCTTGTTACAAATTAGAAATTTGTTTATATCATTTTACTCTGTCTTTCTTATAAATACCTCTGCTGATGTGGTTAGTGTGTTGGGCTGCTAATTGCAAAAAACGCGAAAGGGAGCTCATCCCCAAGTTATCCCCTTCCCCCAACCCCCTTTATATTTCACAGAAATATTGGGAAGTATCTAACTGGGGAAATAAACTAGGATCAAATTACCTTGTCTCACCAGTCTAGAGATGGATAGTAGATCCTTAACCTATTGATCCGGATGGTTGGTAGGTGATTTGAATTTTTATTCAGATTAATATTGCTCCTAATTGGAGCCCCCCCCCCCCAATTCCTGAGAAGACTGAAGTATTCCTCACTCCTCGCTATCCCCACTCCAGCATTAGTGAATTAAAATACAATTTCATCCTGCTTTGCGCCTCCTTTCAATATTTCACCCTTTGGGGGCTGTGGGGGGACAGCATTTCTTCCTTTTGAAAGGTGCTCTTTTTTATAGTATAGGATACCACTTTATTATAGTATATGATACCACACATGAAGAGGCTTCAAAAAATGCACAGTATAATTCCAATTCTCAAAAAAAATTTAAAGCCCTTGTTGGCATGAGATTTATACATTGTTGGGGGAATAGTAGACCTCGGTTTTTTTCCAACCCAATCATTGGTGCTTTCAAACTCCTGACCTTGTGGTTGACAGCCCAATGCCGCCAGGGCTCCTTATATGTATATATATATAAGGAATATTTTAAATCCTTTGAAAAACATGTATTTAAAGATCTCTAGCCACAGTGGGTGGTATAGCACCTAAAGCCCACCGTTCGAAACCATTCGCTGCTCTGAGGGAGAAAGGGCTTAAGGCTCCTGTCAACAGAGTTTCAAGAAACTCATGGACAGTTCAACCTTGCCATATAGGGTGGCCGTGAGTCCGCATCACTCCACAGTAGAGAGCTTGGCTTTCCTCTGTCGGGTAAGTGTTGGACTGCCAATTCAAACCCACCAGCCATTTATGGATGAAAGACGATGCTATCTATCCACTCCCATAAACATTTCAAACTCAAACTCGCTGTCACCCAGTCTATTCCGGCTCATAGCAACCCTGCACAACAGACTGGACGGTTTTACCAGAGCAGAAAGCCTCCTGTTTCTCCCGTGGAGCAGTTAGTGGGTTTGGCTATGTGTTTGCAGCCTAATAGGGAACCCACGACACCACTTGAACCGTACACCACCCGAACCACTGCACTACACCCTTTAGAACCGTGTTTCCCTAAGTGAGCAACACCTTCCCTGGGCGCTGGAACATTGGAGGCGGTGGGTGGGGGGCTGAAAATGCAGAGCTTTACCCTTTATCCTGCACTCTAGACTATAGTACATAAAAATAGTCTTTTCTGAGGAGGGGGTCATCGTCTTGAGCCAGAATAGACGCGACGGCAGTGAGTTTGTTTTAAACCAAACAAGGGCGGAAGCCTACACTCTCTGGGTCAGTATGAGGCAGAATGGACCTCAAAGCGGTGTATTCTTATTGCGGTTTGGTTTTCAGTGTGATGCACCCTCGGGTATGTCGAATTTCTCGTCTCAGAGGCAATGAATGTACAAATGTGTGCTTTGCACAATTGATGTATGTATGGATTGTGATAAGAGTTGTATAAGCCCCTAATAAAACGATTACAAATATATATAAACAAACAAACAAAATTTCTCATCTCAGGATCCTTTTCTGCTCTTATAAAGGACTGGGGGTATAATAAATAAATAAATTAAATAGTACTGAGGATCCAGAATTTGTGATTATGTGAGTAAAAACTATGGACATTTACTATATTAGAAGTTAAAACTGAACAAAATAAAATACTTATTTTAGTTTATTAAAATAACAATAATGACTGTATTATCTAGTAATAAAAAATATTTTATTTTTAAAAGCTGTATTTTTCAAAGAGGCCAAAAAGTATTGGTAAAAATAGTAATTCACCTTTTAGCGGATCTCTTTACCGTCTGGCTGAATACAAAAGAGTTAGATTCTTGTGCTTGCTTCTGCATTCGATTTAACATGTCGCAATAGTACTGTCATGTTAAAATGAGTGAAAGGGGCAAGTTTTAGAATTTATGTGAACATTTCAGCACCATAGGCCCACTGAAAGGATCTCAGAGAACCCCGGAGGTTCCCAGACCACAACATGAGAAACATTACCCTAAAGGCTTAGAGAGGCAGCAACATTCCACCGATTCATTTAGTCACCTCATTCGTGGCGGGGTCACTAGTGGTGCACTGGTTAAGTGATGGGCTGCAACCCGCCGCCGGGGCAGTTGGCAGCAGCTCCGTGGGAGAAACTGGGCTCGCTTTTCCTGTGAACAGTTATAGGCTCCGAAACCCACCAGGGGCTGCTGTGAGGCAGCTGTGAGCTGACTGGACGGCAGCGAGGTTGTTGATTTTTGTTCATGTTGGTGGTAGCACCATCTTGGGGATGGTTGTGGCAGAAACTAATGTACAGGATAATCCAAAAATGCCTCCCGAGTGAAAATAGGATTTAGACTCCCAGCGGTGACGGTCTTTTGGGGTGAAAACCATTTTTCTGGGGTTTTCTAATACTGGTCCTATGCAGCATTTGTCTTTACGAGATTAGCTCACTTTGCTGCACATAATAATGTTTTCCAAACTCCAGACTGCTGACTCATATATTATTTCTGTTTGAATTTGCTTAAGGAAACATCATACCCCTTCCCATAAGGTCCGTACAATTCTGCAAACTGCTACCAGTGGATGAAGGTTCCAGTCTCCCCACCCCCTTTCTAGCATTTGCTTGTTTTTTGTAAATTTTATCAGTGGTGGTATACGGTGTTATTTCATCTTTGTTTTAACTTGCATTTCTTTCATAGTGAATGATCTCAAGCATTCCTTCACATGCCTCTTTGTTGGCCACTTGGAGTCACCATTTCTGGTGAATTGTCCATTCATGCCTTCTGCCCATTTTTAATTAATTAATTTTTTCCTGTCCTTTTTTAAAAAAAAAAATTCATTTTATTGGGGGCTCATGCAGCTCTTATCACAATCCATCCATCCATTGTGTCAAGCACATTTGTGCATTTGTTGCCATCATCATTTTGAGCCCTTGGAATCAGCTCCTCATTTTTCCCCCTCCCTACCTCATGAACCCTTGATAATTTATAAACTGTTATTTTTTCATGTCGTCCACTGACCGATGTCTCCCTTCTCCCACTTTTCTGTTGTCCATCTCCCAAGGAGGGAGTTATAGGTAGATCATTGTGATCAGTTCCCCCTTTCTGAACCCCCCACCTTCCCCTTCCCCTCCTGGTATCACTACTCTCATTATTGGTCCTGAGGGGTTTATCTGTCCTGGATTCCCGGTGCTTCTGGCTCTTATCTGTACCCGTGTACATGCTCTGGTCTAGCGTATTTGTAAGGTAGAATTGGGATCATGATGGTGGGGGGAGGAAGCATTAAAGAACTAGAGGAAAGTGGTATATTTTTCGGTGCTGTACTGCACCTTGACTGGCTCATCTCTTCCTTGTGACCCTTCTGTCAGGGG